TTTTCCTTGAAGAAATCTATAGCTGGTCCTATTTTTCTCAAAAAATATATAGCTCTTTGTATTGCTGGTATTTTTTTTTAACTATTACTGATAATAATTTCTCTTTCAAAAATTATTGCTGGTAATAATTTTTTATTACAAAGTATTTCTGGTATTAAAACCTATTTTTACACAAGTTTGAGTGTTGGGTGTGGACTTGGGAACACCAGCAATTAAGAGGAGGTTCCACGCTCCTCAAAACCTCCTGATCAGATGCCTTGCTGTTGGACGTAGTTTATCGTCATACCCAGGACGCGGATGAAATTTATCGTCATACCCAGGACGCAGATGTAGTTTATCGTCATACCCAGGACGCAGATGTAGTTTATCGTCTTACCCAGGATGCAGATGTACTTTATCGTCTTACCCAGGACGGGGATGTAGTTTATCGTCATACCCAGGAATCGGATGTAGTTTATCGTCATACCCAGGACGATAATGAGAGAGAGGGCAATAAACGTACAAGTATTAAGAAAACATAAAATAACGATTGGTATTGCATTTACATTTTTGAGGATTAAGGTTGACTGGAAAATAAGTTTAATCATCAAAAATTTAAATCGCAGATATAAGCCATCGTGTTTTATGTTAAATAAAGCGTACAAAATGCATTTTTTTATACGATCGAAAGACATCTCATTCGTTTTTAACGATAAAATATTTTCTTTTTTCTTTAAAATTTCAGCACAGATAAACAAATGAGCCTATGGTGTGTATCGTCAGTGGTATATACCCTTCGTAGCGAAGTGGTCGACCCTAGTTTACTGAGGTGAATGGGAATGCGGAACTGTACGGACCCACGGCCTACACCTAACTCTCTCACTTATTGTTATACCATAATACCTATTCTATTGTAATAGAGTCTCCCACAGAAAATAAGTAGTAGTAGTAGTAGCGGTCGCCAGTTGGGCTCAGTGGTGTTGAGTGAGTCAGTCGATGTCGGACATTGAAGTATCAACCATCACAACTAGATTTCTGTGTCATTAACCCTTAGTTCAAGTTCCTAACGTTTTGTACGTCGAACCTAATTTAGGACGACTTATGGAAATACAAGCCTCCACTGTGAAAACTACTCTACAACACTTATAGACAATGCGACAGCCATACCCCGGTCAACGGTATCGACAAGCAGGCTAAACTGTAGCAGGGTAATCAGAAATGTTTCCCATCTGGACCACTGAAAGAGAACGCCATTCTCTAATTCACCTGTGCGAAGCGCGCATTGATTCATCGCCAGCCTGGAAGTAGGAACTGCACATTAGAGGTCAATGTGTTACCAATGGGCGAAGGAACTTATAAGATGAAGGGCGAGGTAACTTCAACTTCCAGGATGCAAAAGGAATCGGTAAACCATTCTACCATTTTGTGTTGAATGACACCATCAACCAGAATTACGACAGAATAAATGATAATGATGAAAGAAATAAATGCATTATTTAAGAAAATAAATCGAATTACTTATTTTATTATTTTTATGAACAAAACTTAGAAAATTTACATTTTTCTAATTAAAATCCCTGTTAGATTTTCAAAATATTCTATTGATAATGTCAATACTACCTGTTTTCCTTTCTTCATTACTTAGCTAATGTTAAAGAAAATTTATCTAAATTATAAAGCCGTGTCCATTTTCTCCTGGAGAAAATGGGTTTATTTGTATAATTACGTAATTTAATTACACCTGCTCCCCCAAAAAACAGTCACTTATTTATCAAAATCATAAAATACCCGATTGACAATGAATAACAACGAATAACAAAACTTATTTTTCAAATTGATATGGAAAAAACATCGGAATATGAAATTAGTTATCTCGATTAAGCAAAAAGATCGAACATGGAGAATGGATGAAATTGAAGTTGGTAGATAGAAATGCCTTAATCAAATACATTGGCGAACTTTTTTAAAAAGTTCGCCAATGCATACTTTGGTTACGGAATTACCTCCACAAAAATTGTACATAAGAGGTGTGACCAAAAAGTATCGAGACTGGGCGTATAAAAAGAAAACTACAAGGTATATCAATTCGTCATTTAATCACCTTCGAAGTATTCCCTTCTGAAGCCACATATTTTATCAAGGGTCGTTTCCACTGATGGAAAAATTCCTGGAGCTCATTTTTTTGAGATAGTGAACCGCTGACTCATCGTATTATCTTGGATTTCCTCGACATCTTGAAATCTTGTTCCTTTCAATTGGGATAGGATTTTTGGGGGTATATGTTGGTTGTCGGACTTGGGGAATGTTGTCTTTATCAAAAACTGCTGCAATAGATGCGCTGAATGGACAGAGGCTTTGCCACTCATCGGACACATGCAATTCTTTACTTTCTCCATAAACAGCATCCCATAATTAGCGCATCACGTGATGGTAGTATTCCTGGTTTGCTCGCTGAACATGTGGAGAAATGAACAATGTCATTTTAGTCGAAAAAATTGTTAACAGGTTCTTCACATTACTTCGATTTGTCTGTGCTTTCTTCGGTGCTTGAGAGTTTGGGGGTCTTCTAATGTGAAGACTGAGCCTTGGTTTTGGGGTCATAGATATAGACCCACGATTCGTCACCTACCCTGAAAAATAAAGTTCTCTGCGGTGTGGTGAACAATCACTCTACACATTCTACACACTCTATACATTTTGTTTATAAACATTGCTACAAAAAGCGAGAATGTTATAAAAAATGCGCATGCGTGGCAGAGTTCAAGGTCAAGTTGTACCATGCGGCGTTAATCTGCGTATTTTAGCTCCATTAACATATTCTTTTTAATAAGACATCTTATAGAAATAATTAAGTGTACATAAAGAAATGTCGACATGTTTACATCTGAACTAAATGAGTCTAACCTCGATAAAAAAAATCCGTCTATTCTTTACGGACAGTTGTAGTTCCAGCGGCGATCATCGACAAACGGATGGCAGAAAGAATGTAGCAGCTTCGTGGAAGATCATCTTGCATGAAAACCAGGATGGTGCATTGCTCCAATTAGTGGAGAACCGTAATACATCGATAGTAGCGGCGCACATAGATATCATTAACCATCGAAAGATTCAAGTGACACTTCCTAAAAATTTAAAAAACGGCGCGTTCTGCAAATTTGGCATGTTATGCAGTCGGAAAGTCAACTACCGTGCTAAAAAAAATTTAACACCCAACAGAGAAACGCCTGTATGGACACCTTCTTCCTATCTCAGTTTCGCTAAGAGAGAGAAAGCTTTGGCTAGCTGGTCACTCCTGGAGAAGTAAGTCAGAACTTGTGAATGACACCATCCTATGGAACCCAGTGAGCGGCAAAAGATCGGTTGGAAGACCTCATCAAACCTACATTGACCAATTTTTAGATGACTCTGGAAGAGCTGCCGACTGCGATTATCTGACAGAGATGGTTTGAAGGAACGAATCAGGAGAATCCGAGAAGAATTCTCGAATTGATGATAATTTGCGGAAAAGAGCGTTTTTCCAGCATTGGTCTGATCAGACACATGGGAACTTATCCACTATAAGGAATTTGTTTAGCTCGGCAGCAACATCCGGTCAACGGAGAGAGACATCAAAATCCTGAAAGGCAAGACATGGGGTCTCCTTGATGGTCTGATCACCATCTGGAAGTCCTTCCTCTCTGACAATCTTAAGAGTGCCTTCTTTAAATCTACGGTAGAATCTGCTTCGCTCTACGGTTCAACAATGGGAACACTGTCGAAACACCAAGAATCATCACTTAACGGAACATACACAAGGATATTACGAGTTACATTGAACATCTGCTGGAAGAAACATCAAACAAAGAAATGTCTGTATGGACACCTTCCCCCCATGTCAGTTTCGCTAACAGAGAGAAGGCTTTGGCTAGCTGGTCACTCCTGGAGAAGTAAGTCAGAACTTGTGAATGACAACCTCCTATAGAATCCATTGCGCGTCAAAAGATCGGTTAGAAGACTTCATCACATGCATATTAACCAACTTGTAGATAACTCTGGATGTCATTGGGAGGACCTGCCGGCAGCGATGTTTGATAAAATGGTTGGAAGGAACGACTCAGGAGAATCCGAGAAGAATTCTTGACCCAATTATGATGATGAGTTTGGGAGATAAGTATAATGGGAATTTCTCATGAAACAAAAATCCTTAAATTAAGGTATTTCGTATTTTACCACTCGCTATATCAAATTATTAATACAAGAAATGGCCGTTGTCCACAAGTTTTGGCCTTGTGTCATATTTGATATAATTCAATAAATATAGATGGGAAAGTGTCAGGGACAATACATTAATATCCCAATATGAAATGCCTGGCAATTGTTATTAGAAATCTCACGTACGTGTGAGATTGCCAATTTAAATACGGCCTTGTGCCATATTTCGTTCGAGCAGGCATACAGATAAATGCCAAAAACGCAGTTATTTTGAGGGCCTCTCCCGAGGCAGTATATTTCCCATTGAACTAGGAAAGCTAAAGGTTACCGTCACTACTTGATGCCTGGGGCGCCATCAATTCAAGAATTTTAGGGCGCGGTGATATCTATGCCACTTCATCCTTGTGTACGCACAGGAGTTCCACTTTAAACTCGGCCATAGGCCATATTGCGTGAAAAAAGTGAGAGTTGAAGAAATAGGTTGGACCGAAAACTTTTCAGAGCCCACTCATATACACTCATAATAATGTTTTCGTATAAAGAAAGAGAGAAAGAGAAATGTGTTTATGTGTGGGGGGGAGAATTTTCATCAATAATCGATGATTAGCATAATGTATAATCTAGGAAATTTGATATCATCGAATCAATATGGTTTTACTTGCACAATAAGGAACATTGCTTTTAGCAGTTGCTTTCAAGGTGAAGATGTCACGAAAATATGCAATATTTAATTGGTGAATGATTTAATTTTCTGTAGTCAAAGATTATTATTATTTTTTTATCGGGTTCTTTTTTAAACTGACATTATTTCTTCATTTATTCGCCTAATTATGTCTTTCTCTTTCTTTCTATATTTGTTAGTCGTACACTACTTTTTGTTTTCTTTCTTTTTTCGCTATTCACATCTTTTTGTTTTCTTTCTTTTCATCGCTATACACATCTTTTTGTTTTCCTTCATTTTTCGCTATAAGCATCTTCTTGTTTTCTTTCTTTTTTTCGCTATACACATATTTTGTTTGCTTTCTTTTTCCGCTATACACATCTTTTTGTTTTCTTTCTTTTTTGCAATACATATCTATTTGTTTGCTTTCTTTTTTCGCTATACACATCTTTTTGTTTTCTTTCTTTTTTCGCTATACACATCTTTTTTTGTTCTATTTTCGATATACACATCTTTTTGTTTTCTTTCATTTTTCGCTATTCACATTTTTTTGTTTGCTTTATTTTTTCCCTATACACATCTTTTTGTGTTTTTTCTTTTTTCGCTATACACATCTTTTTGTGTTTTTTCTTTTTTCGCTATACACATCTTTTGTCTTCTTTCTTTTTTCGCTATACACATTTATTCTTTTCTTTCTTTTTTGGCTATTCACATCTTTTGTTTTATTTCTTTTATGGTTTTCACATATTTTTGTTTTCTTTCTTTTAGCTATACACATATTTTTGTTTTCATTCTTTTTTGCTATACACATCTTTTTGTTTTCTTTCTTTTTTCGCTATTCACATCTTTTTGTGTTTTTCTTTTTTTTTTCGCTATACATATCTTTTTTCTTTCTTTTTTCGCTCTTCGCGTCTTATATTTCGTTCTTTTTTCGCTATACACATCTTTTTATTCTTTCTTTTTTTCACTATTCACATCTTTTTGTTTTCTTTCTTTTTTCGATATACACATCTTTTTGCTTTCTTTGTTTATCGCTATGCACATCTTTTTGTTTTCTTTCTTTTTTCGCTATTCGCATCTTTTTTCGTTCTTTTTTCGCTATCCACAACTTCTTGTTTTCTTTCTTTTTCGCTATACACATCTTTTTGATTTCTTTCTTTTTTCGCTATACACATCTTTTTTTTCGTTCTTTTTTCGCTATTCACAACTTTTTTCTCGATCTTTTTTCGCTATTCACATGTTTTTGTTTTCTGACTTTTTTCGCTATACACGTCTTTTTGTTTTCTTTCTTTTTTCGCTATATACATCTTTTTGTTTTCTCCTTTTTTCCCTATTCATATCTTTTTTCGTTCATTTTTCATTATTCATATCTTTTTGTTTTCTTTCTTTTTTCGCTATACACATTTTTTATTTTCTTTCTTTTTTGGCTATTCACATCTTTTGTTTTATATCTTTTATGGTATTCACTTATTTTGTTTTCTTTCTTTTTAGCTATACACATCGTTTTGTTTTCTTTCTTTTTTGATATACACATCTCTTTGTTTTATTTCTTTTTTCGCTACACACATCTGTTTGTTTTCTTTCTTTTTTCGCTATACACATCTTTTTGTTTTCTTTCTTTTTTCCCTATTCACATCTTTTTGTTTTTTATTCTTTTTTCGCTATACACATCTTTAGGTTTTCTTTCTTTTTTCGCTATTCACATCTTTTTGTTTGATTTCTTTTTTCGCTGTACACATCTTTACTTTTTTTCTTTTTTGCTATACACACCTTTTTGTTTTCTTTCTCTTTTCGTTATACACATCCTTCTGTTTTCTTTCTTTTTTTGCTATACACATCTTTTTGTTTTCTTTCTTTTTTCGCTATACTCATCTTTTTTCCATGTTTTTTTCGCTATTCACATCTTTTTCCGTTCATTTTTCGCTATACACATTTTTTTTGTTTGCTTTCTTTTGTCGCTATTCACATCTTTTTGTTTTCTTTCTATTTTTGCAATACACATCTATTTGTTTTCTTTCTTTTTTCGCCTTTCACATCTTTTGGTTTTCTTTCTTTTTTCGCTATACACATCTTTTTGTTTTCTTTCTTTTCTCGCTATACACATCTTTTTGGTTTCTTTCTTTTCTCGCTATACACATCTTTTTGTTTTCTTTCTTTTTTCGCTATACACATCTTTTTTTTCCTATTTTTTTCTCTATTCACATCTTTTTTTCTTTCTTTTTTCGCTATACACATATTTTTGTTTTTTTAATTCTTTTTTCGCTATACACATCTATGAATTTTCTGTCTTTCTTTCTTTCCCGTGCAGATCATTTTCTTTTATTTTCTTTCTGTATTTATTTATGTAAACATCTTTATGTTTTCTTTCTTTCATTCGTTCCTTTCATGAATATTTCATTTTGTTTTCTTTCTTTTTGCCTTCATTTGTTCTCTACTTCTTTTTGTTTTTCTTTCTTTCTTTCTTTATTTGCTGTGCAGTTCTTTTCTAGTATTTTTTTTTTTCTGTCTTTATTTTAATATTTTCACCACATGTATGTCAATAAATCCACTAAGACCTAAGATTATGCGTGAGAGAATATTAGAAAAAGAAAAAGAAGAACAAAAAACAATCAAAAATTAAGAAAATAGACTCTAAATATTGACGCTGCATTTAAATTTTTGAAGATCAAAGTTGTAAATCCACAAGCGAGAACTGCGAAAGAAGAAACCCTTCCCATAGAACTTACATCTATCCATTTCAGTTAGAACATGATTTGACCAAGCCGCCAATCTAAAACTGCGCTTAATTTCATAAAGTATAGGTACAAATGTGGCAAGTTCATCAGAACAGTTACCATGAAATTTATAGTAGAGGAATAGAGTAGCTATATTATGGCGGTGAGAAAGTGACTGAAGCTCATTTTCCATTATTCTTTATTTTATCTGTTCCCCTTATACATTCACCATTCATTTCAATCTTCTTTTTTCCAGATTCATTCATTCATTCCCCTTCCTTCAACCTTCCTTCCTCTTCCTTCCACCTTCCTTCCTTCTTTCTTTCCTTCCTTCTTTCTTTCCTCCTCCTTCCTTCCTTCCTCCTCCTTCCTTCCTTCCTTCCTTCCTTTCTTTCTTCCTTCCTTTCTTCCTTCCTTCCACCTTCCTTCCTCTTCCTTCTACCTTCATTACTTCCTCTTTCTTCCTTCCTTCCTTCCTTCCTTCCTCCTCCTTCCTCTTCCTTCCTTCCTTCCTTCCTCTTTCTTCTTTCCTTCCTCTTCCTTTTTTTCAGATTCATTCATTCATTCCCCTTCCTTCAACCTTCCTTTCTCTTCCTTCCACCTTCCTTCCTTCTTTCTTTCCTTCCTTCTTTCCTTCCTCCTCCTTCCTTCCTTTCTTTCTTCCTTCCTTTCTTCCTTCCTTCCACCTTCCTTTCTTCCTTCCTTCCACCTTCCTTCCTTCCTCTTCCTTCTACCTTCATTACTTCCTCTTTCTTCCTTCCTTCCTTCCTTCCTTCCTCCTCCTTCCTCTTCCTTCCTTCCTTCCTCTTTCTTCTTTCCTTCCTCTTCCTTTTTTTCAGATTCATTCATTCATTCCCCTTCCTTCAACCTTCCTTCCTCTTCCTTCCACCTTACTTCCTTCTTTCCTTCCTCTTTCTTCCTTCCTTCCTCTTCCTTCCTCTTCCTTCCTTCTTTCCTTCCTCCTCCTTCCTTCCTTCCTCCTCCTTCCTTCCTTCTCCTTCCTTCCTTCCTTTCTTTCTTCCTTCCTTCCTTCCTTCATTCCTTTCTTCCTCCTCCTCCTTCCTCTTCCTTTTTTCCTCTTCCTTCCTTCCTTCCTTCCTTCCTTCCTTCCTTCCTCTTTCTTCTTTCCTTCCTCTTCCTTTTTTTCAGATTCATTCATTCATTCCCTTTCCTTCCTCTTCCTTCCTTCTTTCCTTCATTCCTTCCACCTTCCTTCCTTCCTCTTCCTTCCTTCCTTCCTCTTCCTTCCATCCTTCCTCTTTCTTCCTTCCTCTTCCTTCTTTCCTCTTCCTTCCTTCCTTCCTCATCCTTTGGGGAAGCCATCGTTACTAACTTGTCTTCATTTCCATGAGTTGTTTTTCACTACCTGCAAAACTTATGCGGCCTAAAAAGCGTGACTTTCTCTTTCTACTCGGTAGACATTGGCGTCACGAAATCTTTCAAAATACTCATGGACCAGTACGAGTGAATTCAGCTTATTGCTAATGTTATTAAATAACGTCATTTAAAAAAAACAAAAAAAAACAACTTTTTTTCCTTTTATTCTTTTAAGATTTTTTTCATTGGAAATTACTTAGGACTTATCGTAAGTCTCATAGAAGTCGACAAATCAAATCATAGTTTACAGGATCGCTGTAAATATCACTGGAGCGAGTCTTGAAAAATTAAGAACTTGACAAAATTTTCTTTGTATGTTTGGTACAAGTTTTTCTCTATTTTATAGAGGGTCTCAGAAGTGCAAACGAGCGTAGTCGCCATCTTAAGCTTTTCACTTGATCAAACAGCCTTTCCAAACCTCACTACGAAGAGAAATGGTGATAAAATATTTTGGGATGAATGCTTGAATAAAATCTATTAAAAAATAAAACACATATACATAAAAAAATACAGCAAATATACAAAACACATGTCTCTACGCCATTACTAAAATAGAAGTACATATTTGTACGTCAACCCAGTATCTGTGCGCATGCGTGACTGAATATTTCTTGTATGTAAATGTTTTTATCTGAGTGAATTATTTGGTTACGTTTTATATCCGATGCAGGCCAACAGTTTCTGCCGACAAGTACATAAGACGTGAATTTTAGTGAAATGAATTTTGTTTCTAGAAAGTGGTAAATAATGAAGGATTTCCGAAACTGATGATTCAAATTTTAAAAGAAAGAAAAGAAAAAGAAGACACACACACAGCGAAAGTAACAGAAGTCAGTGAAAAGTGAAGGAATGAAAGCGGGAAAATATAAAATAATCCCTCATTTCAACAGAAACATGAATAACCGGAAGAGGAGAAAGTGAAAAAAATAAATGTTGTTATTGGTCCGAAAATAAGATAAAGTTTCTATGATTGAGAAAGTTGGTAATAAAATGACGGAAAGGAAATTCTACTGAAGCAAACGGTTCATCAAAAATCTATTGGGAATATTACAAAATGTATGTAGTTATGTTTATACCTTCCATTTATATATATATATATATATATATATATATATATATATATATATATATATATATATATATATATAGCAAATATATGGATATAGATCCGACAGTATGAAGAAAAAATATATACGAAAAAAAAAAAACAAACAAAAGTCCTATATACAATTATGCTGTTTTAATGTTAATATGTCAACGTCGGACGTTTCCTGCAGATGGTTTATTAGACCGAAACGTCCGACGTTGATATATTAACATTAAAACAGCATAATTGTATAGAGGGATTTTTGTTGTTTTTTTTCCGTATATATTTTTCTTTATATATATATATATATATATATATATATATATATATATATATATATATATATAAATTATTTGCTCTGGATTTACATTGAGCTCTCTGGATTTTATCCTCTTTAGTTTTACCCATACGGATGACCTAGTTTTTCATAAACTATATATATATATATATATATATATATATATATATATATATATATCACATTGAGAAAAGGTACTAACAGTTATAATTTATATATTAATAATTAATAGACATTTTTTTGTCATCATTAACACAGCTCTAAGTTTCATGAACAAAGCAATTTTCAAGTGCAGATTAAAAACATTTCCTTAAACAACAGGTTTAACAAGAATACTCGTGTTTCACATCTCTGACCATATCAACTAGGTCTCATTTAAATACACATTTAGACCAACCAAATTCTATCTGTAGCATACTCGTTGATAATACAAATATAACAGCATCACCCGCACGTACTAAAAGGCTCAAAATAATGGAAGCATCTTTAATAAATAAAAAAAAGAAAACAAAAAGCCAACACTCAGTAATATCAACTATGAACACGGTTAAAATGTGCTGACCTTGTTTGGAAAATAAAACATTCCTATAACTATAAATACATATATAAAACAATTCTGTTAAAAGTAAAATAAAATTCATCCTTGATAATGACTAAAAAAGTATAGCAGAAAGTGCTTCGAAAACATTCGGACAATTTTTATATAATTTATGTCCTGTAAAAAAAATATAGGAAAACATGAAAAATTATGTAAAAAAACTCAACCAACACACATTGTCAGTCGTTTTCAACTAAACTTGCATAAAACAGGGATTGCTTCCCAAACACTTAATATATATATATATATATATATATATATATATATAATTATTTTAAAAAAAAATATGATTCCTTCGCTACATAAGAGTTCTCATGTTTCAAAACGAGAGCCGAAACCCTCAATATAATTATTAAAATTAAATTGAATTAAGGTATCAAATCAAGCCCTGTTTTATCCTCAAGGGAAAATTTAGGAATAACCAATCTTGAAATTTACGCATCTTTATAAGCATGTTCGGTCGCAAAATTAATTACTGTGGAAACGTCTGGGGCGACCATTTTGATAAAGGGTCTGACAATTAATTTTTATCCACATATCAGTCACCTTCGGAAAGAGAAAAAAGCGTTAACTCATGTCTATGGTTTAATAAATTTTCATTATTTATAAATTTAATAATGTGTAGTTTTTCGTGTAGGCATAAAGGGCATGGGTCATCCCAGGTTTTACAAGTTCTTGTTCTATTTATTATTTTCCATTTTACTTTTGGAGTTTTATTCATTTCTTTTAAATGCCAAAAATATTTGGATAGTGATGTCTGATTTCTATTTCTAATAATACTGAAGGAGCTACATCTAAATTTAAAATCATTCTTCGTTGAGCCTATGTATATCCTATCAGTGTAAGGACTCTCAATGGATGAGATAGTGCATTGGTATACCACAGATTTTATGAGGCATTTATTTTCCAACGGGCAGTCTTCAGGGTTTCTACAATCACATAATTTTTCATTATTTTTGCCTAATTTTAGTTTAGGATTTTTGTTAATACTGTTTTGGCATGAATGTTTTTCCAGGATTTTATTATTATGTTTTTTTATGATCTTTCTAGATTTTCAGTGCAACTGTAACTCAATTTTAAGGTGTTTTTATTAAAGATCTCCCTAAGTCTGCTATTAGTAGGAAAGATTAGTGTGGGGTTTTCTGTAAGGTATATGTTGTTCAGTAAGTCTAGAGTTACGTCGAGGAAGTTTACCCTTTTTAATTTAGTGTTGACTATAGTTTTTAAATTTATTTTTCTGAATTCACTATATATAATTCACTATATATTATATTTCTAATTTTATCTATTTTAAAATTTGTGGAGCTCCCCACTACCATGAGCCCGTCATCCCTATATAGCCTGATATCCTTAACATCTAATTCAGGGTGCGCGGTTAGCTTGTACAGTATAAATAGACCGACAAGGTCAGAATACTCAGCAGATTTAAAAAAAAAAATAATTATAATTTAAGCTCTACTTCTGTATGGAGCACTGTTGTTTCAAAATAAAAAAAATACTCAACTCTGGATTATTTACCAAACGTGTTCTTTCCTATTTTTTTTCACACACACACACACACACACACACACACACACACATATATATATATGTATGTATGTATGTATATATATATATATATATATATATATATATATAAATTTTCATATATATATATGTGTGTGTGTATGTGTGTGTGTGTAACAAATATTTTTTTAAAATTGTTACACTTTTGGGAGATTGTGTTTAATATCGTTGCGTTTGTAGATAGAAACAGTGTGATAAATATAGATATTGTGAGAGACATAGATATACATAGATATAGATAGAGATAGGGATATTGTGTAGAGACAGTGTGGGTATAGGAATGAACATGTCATTTTTATTCTGATTTTATGCGATATTTAGATAATATTAATGGGTGATTTGTAAAAGAAAGTTTTATTCTCCCTGTTTGTATTTCCCCCATTATTGGCATTATTATACCCATGATATCATAACACCTTATTTCACGTAGAGAAATTATAACCCATATCTACACAACAAGCAGAGTGAAAATAGAACGAAAAAAGTGTGTCTTACTTATAATAATTCTCAGCAGAAACTGGAGTTACCCGAGATTCTTTTCCGTTTTTGGAGAAGTCATGTGTACGATTACAGATTTCAGCGGGCCGAAGAAGGCAGTTTTAGCCTCCATCCGGCCGAGACAGGGGCTTCACCCATGCTAAAATAAGCAACTGGTCGTTTCATCAATTATTTAAAATTGACTGATAGTCTGACACTTTTATCACTATGCAGTGATGTTACTAAGTGTAAAACACGTGATTTCATCTTCACCTTGTGAATATCTATCTATCTATCTATCTATCTATCTATCTATCTATCTATCTATATATATATATATATATATATATATATATATATATTGATTTAAAGAAAATTAATTTCTTTTGTATGATATTTTTTTTTTTTTTTGCAGGACCTAGGTACCTTTCGGCCAACGCTTCATCAGGGTCTTTCGTTGGCAAATGATTTTAAACGAACAATGAAAATGAAAAGAACGCCAAAATGGTATGGTTGGAACACGTCTAAAATTTTACGAAGATATATATACGTAAAATTAAAATTAATTTACGATTAAAATAAATGCGTAAATAATAAATTAATAATAATGAACCAACCTGAGCAGTAAAATAGAAAAATAAGTTGCTCATATATCAAAAAAAATAAATTTAGCGATCGTGAAAAATTCTTTTTTTGTTTGAAAGCGATGGTTTAAATAATTTGAGACAGATGGCTTCCAAAATAGACAGATGATATTTGGACCTGCCTACGCATATAATTGAAAACGAGTCCATTGTGAAACGTTTTGAGCATGACTCATTTTCTAATAGGTGTTGCCTGATCGCCGAATCGTGAGCTGATTGCGAAACACGAATGCGATTATCTAAATTTAATTTAATGTGTCTGGGTACATGTTGTCCGATTCTTGT